CTGTACTCATCTGTCTTCATAAGTGGAGCACTTCTTGTTGCTACATTCATTGCAATGGGTTATAATGATAAGTTTCGTAGAAGAGCTTCCTTCTTAGAAGCTGGAACTCAAATGATATGCTGCTTGGTAAATCCTCTTACTTTAATTACTTGAATGCCTATAACTGGGATGCCACTGTGGCAGTATTCCAAGTTAATCAAGTACTGTCGCATGGGAAAGTTATAATGCACGCCAGTATTTGATTAGCTTGGGATGCCGCCACATTGACATCCCAATGGTACGGAAGTTTTTCTCCGGACTTCAAATAAATTACTCACTAGAATGTCTGAATTTACGCAGGTTGCTGTGACCGTAAAGGGATAGGAACCTTCCTTGTTATCGTCATATGCATATTTGTTTTGGCTTATGGAAGGTCATGGCGTCCTTTGGGGTGGTTAGTTCCTAGTGAGCTGTTTCCTTTAGAGATGAGTTCGGCTGGACATAGTGTCGTTGTCCTGTGTCAATCTCCTCTTCACGGCTTTGATAGCGCAGGGCTTCATCGCAGGGCTTTGCCATCTTCAATATGGGATTTTTCTGCTGTTTGCTTGTTTGATAATCATCATGAGTACCTTCATCTTCTTCCTCTTGCCAGAGACAAAGCAAGTCCCCATAGAAGAAATATATCTTCTGTTTCAGAAACATTGGTTTTGGAAAAGAATAGTAGGAGATGGGGAGCAAATTGGACCCAATGGGAAGCCAAGCCAACCAGATGGGAAGTCTGGAGCACAAGTTTAGAATCAATCTCTCTCTAGCTAGTACAAAAAACATTGTTCAGATTTCTTTTCCATAGTCTGTTTTCTGAAACCCAGTTCTATAGATAATTAGGGATTAGTTTCAAAAATTTTCAAAGTTTTAAAGAATTGATGTCATCTAGGTGTTGGATAAGTCCCTAAGTCATAGCTAAAATGTGGAAGAGTCTCGTTCTTCTGGACACCGTGTGTTGATTTGATATTAAGAGTTGTGACTGAAACATTAAAACCACATTTATAAATCTCCACCCTTGATATCAAATCAAAGTGTCGAAATATGGAAATGCCATATGGGATGGGTGAAGTATGCATAACCTTTAATTCGGGTGATTCGTGGTACCACAAGATGCTCTAATACCATGATAAAGTTTATGAGTTAGTCGAATGGCCGGTTACCAATCAACACCGATATTGTCCCCAACTTCCCGGTTCTCACCTCTGCAGTCCAATACATGTGGGGTTTTGTGTTTTCAAGATTAAAATAACAGAAATTGAAAACTGAAATGGGAAGTGAAATAAGATGGAGAGGAAGTCATGTGAGATAATGTGTCATATTTTATCACCAAAAGCTGTGTTAACATTCATAAATACGTCTCAGGAACTCATGCTAATAGCTTAGCAAGTTCATCAACTCTCAAACTTCCCTGTGGTACAACATTATCTAGTATATTTTCACCAAAATCTCTTGTCATTTTAACTTTACTACCCTTCTTCTGAATCTTCTCACTTCCTCTCTTCACAGAAACTGTTCTCTCTTTCACTTCTGAATCCCCAGCATCTTGTTTCACAACCTTTACTCTCTTTAAAACTGCTACTTTCTTGGGTCGTTGATGCTTAAACACCGGGCCAGGGGGAGCAGACTGCGCTAAGGCAACTGACCGTTGATAAATAATATCGGCATCCAGGGATGACTCATCTAAAATAAGTGCACTCCCACTACCAACAGCTTCATTCAAGAGTAACAACACATTTTCTGTACAAGGTGCACTCAATTTTGCTGGCTCACTATGAATTTGTGAGCCTACTGAAGCTTCTTGAGGATTCTCGTCACTTCCAGGACCTACCGTTATGGAATCCAACCTGGTTTCGGCGCTTCCAACAGGCACTGCCATGGTCCGAGACCCCATTACTGCAGTTGGTGATTCTTCATCAGCACAGCCTGCTTTAGCCAACATGGGATCAATTTCAGATGTAAGCGGCGTAGTTTTTGACTTATCATCAGCACAGTGGATATTGTCTTGCAATGTTGAGCTGTTACTGGCATTCATTTTAGCTTCTGATTCATTGTTTATATAGCCTTCAACATCTGAAATGGGTTTGTTTTCAGAGGATCCTCCAACGGTAGAAGCCCCATCAACTGTGGCATGTGGCTCAACATATAGTGATGGCGAGAGATCCTCACTTCCCTCTGCCCCCACAACTTCAGAAGTACATGATGTTGATGCAATTGAAGTTGAATCATCAACATCAGATTCATTGACTTCCTTGAGATCACTCTCTAGATTTGGAAGAGAAGACTTCCATTCCCGTCCTCTCCACAAAAGAACGTGCTCAAGTTCAAATGACATTAACACACAAGGGACACGATCCTGCATTCACATGGTAAAGAATATTGCTCAACATGCTTTGTTATGAAAATCATCATGACTTGAGAAATGTTTTGTTAAACAAAGAAACTATAAATTTAGCATACCTTAAGTTTAGCACCTATTTTTCGGTAGTCACTCCCATTCATCCCCTGACAATTTATTCGAACTAGCTCACACTCTTCGAAGGCCTCTCTGACATTTTTTACCAATTCAGAGTACACACCATTTTTCCCTGTTAAAATCAAACAACACATTATCAGTTTACTTGAGGCCAAACCTTAAACATTCTTATTGCCATTCAACAGATTAAATTCAAGGCATAAGCACGTTACCAAGCTTGCATATTGGTATCAGATTCCGTCCCTTCTTACGCATCTCAGATGCCTCTTCTACTGTTAGACCCTCGGGAGCCCGCTGAACCAGTCTAGGATATACAGGAGTGATAGGCCTCCAAAGCATGAGAGGAAACTTAGGACGAGTTTTATAGTTGTAGTTTCTGCCTCGGAAAAGGTATATCACTCCACCTTTCCTGTAAATGATCTTCCCTCCAGTTCTTTCCTGTCAAATAATATATGATCCAAGAATAATTAACTTAAAAGAAAAACTGGAAGTAAAACACAAGGACGAGCATATTCAACTAAACTGGAAGAAAAACACATCCCCAAACATATCCATTCAGAAATCAGCAAGGAGAAACCAACCTCTAATTGCTCGCACACGTTCTCCATATCGACTGTACAAACACCTTTGCATTTAATCTTGCACACTCTCCGGCGCTTCCAGTGAGCATGTATGTTATCCAACATGTTGTGGGTCAAACCATCTCTACCTACAAATTCCAAATGAACTGAATCAGTAACCAGAAACTCATAACCTTTCTTACTATTTTCCTGCATTTCGAAGCTCTAAAGTCAAAAACTTTCATCAACGAAAACCCAAATCGAACGCTCTCCAATTTCACAAATCTCATTAAGAAGCAATCAAATGAATCAAAACCCAAATGAAGGCTATAAAAAACAAAGGAAGAAGATTATCTATAGATATACCCATATTCAACTGCCTCTTGGTTTTGATGCACCCTTTAACTAATTCCTTAACTTCCTCAACTGTCAGCGGCTCCCCCAAAATCTCTTCTCTGGACTTCACATACTTAGGACCCGACCCGGCCAAATATGGACCCGGAGATTGCACCGGCTTGACCCCCTTCTTGTGCGGCGGAGGCAGCTGGAAAGAGTCGAATTCCTTCAGTTTCTTCTTGCTTGCTGGCAAGGGGGCCCGACCCGTCCATGGCCGGTCCATCGTGGTGGGCCCAAACTGGCACGAACGGCGGTTCCCGGAGCTTAATGGGCTTGAGTTTAGGAGTCTCGGTGTAGCTGTACTTGAATTCAAAAGGGGCTCCGTCGATAACGTAAGAAAGCCCATCGTCGCCGATGGAAATGTCGGCATTTCTGTCGACTAGCCGGCCTTTTCTCCCTCAAAATTTTCGAGACCTTCGTGGGTCTTATAATTCGGCGAAATGCCGGGTGCGAATCGTTAGGGTTAGGGTTTTTGGAGTACTTGGATTTCTTGCCTGGGATTGAAGGGCTCGAGGGATACGACGGCGTGCCAATGGATTTAAATGTTTCACTACTCGTGGTGGCGTTGGCGGCGGCGGCGGCGGTGGCAGGTAGTCGGAAAGAGTGGCAATTCTGGTAGCGGACTCGAATCGGCGCTCCCGGCGAATATCGTCCTCGATTTCTTGCTGGGCCCTCCGGCGTTGGTTGAATTTCTCGGCGTTGGCGTTGTTCCACCGCGCGAATCGGACCTCCGTTGGCGGGCGGTGCTGGGCCGGGTTGTGGGTGGGGCTCGGGTTCAATAGTGGCGCGAAAATGGGACAGGAAGTGGGCAAATTTAGCGCCATTTCTTGCTGGGTTCCTCAAATTGAAGCCGAAAGCTTCAAACTTTCAGCAGATAGGAGTCCTTTTGCTGGGTTCTGGATGCATATCAGTTAAACGACGTCGCAGCAGCTGACAGTAGGGGGCTTTCAAAGTGAGATTTTGCAGGGAAGAATTGAGAGAGAGAGGAGGGGGGCTTAAGGTTTAACTTGGCGCTAACTGCCAACGGCCATGTCCCTTCGAGCGCGACAACTAATTGAACGACATGCCGTTTGACGAAAACGTGGCTTTCACCGTAGTAATATGCAACAGCAAGGTTAAACCCCTAATTTAAGGGCCTGTTTGGTACCTTCGTAGATTCCATTTTCTGTTTTTAAAACTAATGATTACTATTACCAATTAACTTAGCTATATTTATAACTTTTGAAAACTATAAATTAAAAGAATACCAAACATCCTCTTGGCTACAGTACTAAAAAACAATGATTGATTCTTTTTATTTGATCTTGTAAAGTGTTTAAGTCAATATCTGTAGCACTGTGTGCTCTGATTTCTGGAAAGGAATCTCTTTATCTTATCTATCTTATTTCCTTCCTTCTTATTTAAACAATTACAATTAAATTACGTTAACATATTGATACGAAAAAAGTGTTTCCTCTTGCTAATGTAGACGTTTTTTCATTGCGTAAAACTCAAGGATGACGAAGGAGTGGCTTCGCAGTAAATACTATAAAACTGGAAGGGTTTTTTAGCTGTACCCTGCCGTTTCCACTTCCAGCGTGGAGTATTCTGAGATTATAATAATTTGGCCAAGCAGTAGCACAAGCAGAAGCAGCAGCGGTTTTAGTTGACCGAAGGCTACAGAGATCTCTTCTGAAGTCGGAGCTCCCCCATTCATTCAAGGTACTCAATACAACCAGTGATTCTAATTCCTCATTTGATCTTGTAAAGTCTTTAAATTTATGGGGGTTTTTAAATCATAAATTTTTCCTGTTCTGAAATCTGAATTTGGAAAAGTTATGTAATTTCTTGATGGAATGCATATAGATTTCTGGGTTTTTGTGATAAATGTATAATCTTTCTTCCAGCTTTTGAAGTGTGTTCAAAACAGTGAGTCTAATCCTCATTTGGTTTTGTAAAGGCTTTAAAATTTATGGGTTTTTTTTGTTTAATTTAATATAGTGGGTAGGATGCTACTACAAGAACGAACCCAAGCTAACGAAGCTCCCGCTTTGCGAGAGTGGGGAACGTTTATTGCGCCCTTATCTTTGCTTTGTAAAAGTGCTGTTTTCTCGACTTGAACCCGCGACCTTTGAGTCACCTTTCCGTTGCATCAAGGCCTCGTTGCGAAAATCCTAAATCTTTTCCTGTTTTGGATTTGGCAATATTTGTGTAATTTCTTGATGGCATGTATTAAGTATATGGATATCATAGTTTTTGTGGTAAATGTATAATCTTTGTTTCAGCTGTTGTGCATTTTGTATGATATGGATACTGCTGCTGCTCGAACCCAGAGATTTTGGAACATTCGAATCCGGAGACTGCTGTTAATAATCGGCGGGGCGGTTGCCATTGTAGTTGTATCCCAGTGTTTAGAGCTTCCCTACGACACAACTTTTTTCTTTTTCCCTGCTGATATTGGTTCAATTTCAACAGCCACAATGTATGCCAATGTTAGTAGCTCAAACATGTCAAAGTCTGGCAAGTTTAGTGTTGGTGGTGTAGAAGGCCTAGTGGGTAATGACACTGAAGTTTCCGATTCGGATGAAGAATCTAGGCATGGGAATGATACGAGACAACAGACCTGGGTGTATGGATTAGCACTAGGTAATGACAGCAGTTTGACTGGGGAGTCCATGTTAGAGAATAATGTAACACTTGGAAAGAGTTATCCCGTGGGAACGGGTGGAAATGAAGATGGAGTTTTTATCCAGGGAAAGACTCAAGATTTTAAAACTGGTTACTTACAGACAGCTAATGAATCAGCTGACAGTTACAGGGAAGACAACGAGCCTGGAATCAGCTTAGGTTTTAAGGTTAATGAAGTTAGAAATGAAGTTGGTCTTGTGCCAGTTGTATCACAAAAAAGCTCTACAAAGAGTCTGGAAAACTTGAATGTAGATTCAAATGGCAATGTCGAACAAAATATAGAAACCCAAATTGATCACCAGAAGATTGAGCTACGGCAACCTGTTTCAGTCACCTTGGATGATAATTCTACAATGACTGATATATCTGTACTAAGGAAGTGGAACCGACGACCAACATCAATATCACAGATGAACTCATTATTGCTTCAAAGTTCTGTTTCTTCTCGTTCAATGGTATGAATTTAATTTTGAGGTTCCAATTTGGGAAACGAGAAATGAGTTAGATTTCCAGATCCTCACTTGTACTTTTATTGGCACTAGCAACTGCGGAGGTACTCAGCACGTGATCGTGAACTACAATCTGCAAAACTGGAGATTGAGAATGCTCCCATCATAAGGGACAATGCAGGACTTAGTGCTTTTGTTTTCCGAAATCTCTCCAAATTTATAAGGTAAGCCCAATTTGTCTGTCCACTTCGTATATGCATCTAGTAAAGGCTTTGTATTGTTTTCCTCTTTATGATTGCTTGTAAACTGCTTCAATTGTGTCTGTATATAAATATGGTGCTTTTCAAATATCTGCTTCACGTTGAAGCTTATCGTCTCTATAGTCTATACAGATATGGAATCCTTCGAGAGTAAAAAATTTGAAATGTAGGCTTCTTTTTGGAAACCCATGACAATCTTGAGATTTTATTTGTACTCGACTGCAGGAGTTATGACTTGATGGAGCACATGCTCAAAGTTTACATCTACAGGGAAGGTGAAAAGCCGGTATTCCATCAGCCTTTGATGAGAGGAATCTATGCGTCAGAAGGATGGTTTATGAAACTAATTGAAGGAAATAAAAAATTTGTTGTGAGGGACCCCAAGAAAGCTCATTTATTCTATTTACCCTTCGATTCACATATGCTAAGGTTGACTATTCCTAGACACTCTATCCATCGTAAGAGTAAGACGGTCCTAGAAGAAGTTTTGAAGAGCTACGTTGGGTTAATTTCTAGAAAATATCCTTTCTGGAACAGAACGAAAGGGGCAGATCATTTTCTTGTCGCTTGTCATGACTGGGTATGATTCTCATGCATCAATCTAGTTTCTATTTCATACTGTCAAAGTCGCTAATCTTTCTGGTCTCGTCTGTCTATGCTGATGAGGTCCTATGGATTATAGACTGTCTTCAATCGATGCCTTAATCTAACACATCCTTGTAAATGGAATTTCAGGCCCCCAAGCTCACAAAACAGTGCATGAAGAATTGCATCAGGTCTCTTTGCAACGCTCATGTTGATAGAGAATTCGAAATTGGCAAGGACACCAGTCTACCTGTGACATATATACGTTCCGTGGAGAATCCTCTTCAGGATCTTGGGGGAAAACCTGCTTCAGAAAGATCTATCCTGGCCTTCTTTGCCGGGGGCTTGCATGGCTATCTCCGACCAATCCTGCTACACTACTGGGCAAACAAAGAACCCGACATGAAAATCTTTGGCCCAATGCCGCATGATATTGAAGGCAAAAGAATGTATAGGGAATACATGAAGAGCAGCAAGTATTGCATATGTGCCAGGGGTTACGAGGTCCACACACCTCGAATAGTTGAGGCCATATTCTACAAGTGCGTGCCAGTCATCATATCGGACAGTTACATGCCTCCTTTCTTTGAAGTATTTAATTGGGAGGCATTTGCAGTTTTCATACAAGAGAGGGACATCCCCAATTTGAGAAACATTCTGCTCTCAATCCCGGAAGAGAAGTACCTTACAATGATGTCGAGAATAAAGATGGTGCAACAACATTTCTTCTGGCACAAGAAGCCAAAGAAGTACGACTTATTTCATATGGTACTTCATTCAGTCTGGTACAACAGAATTCTTCAGTTAAAAACCAGATGAAGATGGGAGTCTCTTCAGGTTGTTTGATACTAAAAAAGAAGACTGGTGAGTGCAGATTAAAAGGTTTCTGTAAAAAAGCAGCAAAGAAAGAGATACACAGAAACCACACTGACTCTACTGAATCTTTTGCCACTGAAATTGAATTTGAAGCTGACTGAGGGATTCGTTCAAGTACAAGGAAATGGTCGTCGGATTGTCATTTATGTTGTGTCCACCTGGCCAAGACAACACGGCTGCGATGCTATTCACCCTGCCGGAGAGGGATCCTGCTCAAGGCTTCCTTTATTATCTGTAAATGGGGTGAATTCAGTCGTGTACTCGACAATTTCAACTCCGATAGCAAGGACGTGTGTAAATGACCAATGGTTAGGGCCGGCCTAATCAAATCTCTAAGGCCGGCCCGGCCAGCGACATCATAATATTCACCTAAGGAAAACAATAATCTCTTGATCGAAAGTTTTTATTTCTGGTAGGACTGTATGTCGAAGAAAAGTGTACAACAACAATAATATAGAACTGGACCGAAAGCGGGAATATGATGCTGATGGGTCCGTCTAAAATCATTCTGCGTAGGGATTTTATTTACGAATGAAGGTGGAGTCAATCGTTTAACATATATTTGAACATAACATTTCGTCCCAAGGCACATTTTTCTTTCAAATATCAAAAGTATGGACATCCAACTGAAGTTCAATAGATCATAATGTTCACTCTTATCAATCTTAATTTAGAGCGTAATGCGACTAAAGTTGGATAGCATTTACACTTAAAAGAGAAACTGCAAAAACTAAAGACTACGCAGAGTACGTCGAACAAGTGATACAAGGTTCAATACGAATGGGGGCAAGAGATGTACGGTTCCCCAACCAATCTGGTAAAGCCTCCAGTCCATTAAAATCGTGTATCTTCAAAGTTGTTAGAGACTCGAGCTTAGGCGACCCCCACAAGTCTAATCTTTCGAGTTGTGATGGAACTTGAAGGTTGAAAATCAGGAAAAGAATCGAGCTCCTCCCAAAACGCACCGATTGACATCATCTCAAACCAGTCAGGGAGTGTCATGATCAAAATTCTAAGAACACGAAGTCTGAACATACTCGGGATCAAAATACCGCACTGTGCCCATGACCGGTGCCACAACATGAGTCTCATTGTCACTGGGAAAAACCATGGACATACCAAAATCTGCTATTTTTGCATCCAAGTTTTCGCTTAAGAGAATGTTGGCAATCTTTACATCTCTATGCAGGATACGTGGATTGCATCCTTTATGCAAGTAATGTTGCCCTGTGAACCAAATTTCACAATGTACATAAGTTGAATTAGGCACATGAACTTACGCAAATATATTAGCGTACGAAGTAACACGCAGCACCAACCTAACGCAATATCTAATGCTATCCGATGTCTCATTTCCCATGTTACATGTGAGCTTCTATCTGCATCTGCAACCATTAACGTGACACTTCAATATTTTGAAACCCTCTGATGGAGGACAATGCTTATAAAACATATAACTACATACCTGAGAGATATTCTCTTAGGTTTCCGTTAGGCAAGTACTTGTATATAAGTGCCAAGTTGTCGGTATCATCACAGTATCCAATAAATGAGGCCAAGTTTCTAGATGGATTCTCATCAGGAGCTCAACCTGCAGCGATAAGGAACTCATCAATCTCTAACCAACGAGACAAGGCATTTAACTTGCATTCCAAGGAATTAAATTATAACTATCAAACCTCTGTTTGGAACTCCCTAGCTCCTTGCGATGACGATGGAGAAAGTATTTTAACCGCAACTTGAGTGCCATCTTTCAAGTAGCCATGGTATACAATCCCAAATCCTCCCTTCCTGATTTTAGTTTGAAAATTTTCGGTGTATTGTAAAATCTTGTCGTAATTGAACTGGGACTTCTTTGATGCTACAGGTGTTTTGTTATGTTTTTCTCCATCTTCAGCTTAAGCAGACAAAAACATATGAGTTCTGACAAAGTGGATAGGATCATAGGAATACCACTAAGCCATAGTAACAGCATTGGTTCTAACTGAATAAGTATCAAGCATATAAAATGGTACCTAGTTTTCTTTTTCTTCTAAGCTTCCATACGAGTATGAGCACTATAACTAGAAGGAGGGCCACTGCTGATAGTTATGATCCAAGTATTGGAACAACTTGCACTTGCTTGGATCTGAGCTAAAAAAAGAACTTATAAACAGAAAGAAAATATAAATCTGAAGGATGCAATACCATTTGCTTTTGTTAAGGAAAATGCTAACCTATTTGGCGCTCTCCATGAACGAAACTTGCACAGAGCAGTAGGATGAGGAAACCAGTTGAGATCTTCATCTCTCTTTATCTCATTACAGCCTATGAACTACCTGGTATTTAAAACGTGCAACAATGTCCCAATCAGAAAAACAGAAAAACGTATATGACAGTGTGGATTTGTAATTCATGCTGCACAACTTGCACAATACATGCATGATCCTTATTACATGGAGATGCCTAGTCTATGACAATCAATGGATTATGAAATGTTCATACTAAAAGAGCAATTTGGTCAGGCCAACGTATTTTCTAGTCAAGGCATTTCAAAGATCGTTCCTGTTAGGGTTATGTGGTGTCATACAAGTCAGGCACACAACCCAAAGTATTGGACCAAAGTGATTAAGTCGAAGAGAATATGAATATATACTAGTATTTATCCTACACTGATTCACTGCACAACAGATCCACACCCATTTTTAAACCACCAAATTTTGAACATGGGATGAATGAGATAGTTTGTAGGAACCGGCAAAGGTCAAGCCTAACTAGCTACCTAGCATGGTATGGAACCTGCATTTGTGAAATCTGAACATATGGAAATCACTCTAGGTGAACTCTGGTATGGTGAAATCATAACACAAGTTTCTTCATTTGAGCCTGGAGTTCTTTCTCGATGCCCAGACACCTCCGTTTCCAAACATTGTGTTAGTTGACACAGCACAAAACCCATGGTGGCTCTATGTTGGGAGGTTGAAGTTGTGCATGCCATTGCTGTTTATAAGGCTTTCCAAACCGAATTCACACTGAAATCTCCTAAAATCCTTCAATACAAAATAGTTGTAAAATCCCTTTGCTGGAACTCAGGATTTACCCGCTACACTATGTGGACAAGATCATCACTTTCTACGATTGCAGGTTGTCCAGTAAAACTATAAACATCAAATTTCTTTATTCAACCATTGATAGTTATGGTACCTGCAGACCAAACCAATCATAAACCACTCATTGTTCATACATTTGTATTCACAACAGTTATAAAAAAGAACTTATAAGCAGATAGAAAATATAAATCTGAAGGATGCAATACCATTCGCTTTTGTTAAGGAAAATGCTAACCTATTTGGCGCTCTCCATGAACAAAATTTGCAGAGCAGTAGGATGAGGAAACCAGTTGAGATCTTCATCTCTGTGTCTCATTGCAGCCTATGAACTACCTGGTATTTAAAATGAGAGACAATGTCCGATCAGAAAAACAGAAAAACGTATATGACTCTGGATTTGTAATTTCATGCTGCACAACTTGCACAGTGCATGCATGATCCTTAATTAGTCTGCGACAATCAATGGATCATGCAATGTTCATACTAAGAGAGCAAATTGGTCAAGCCAACGTATTTTCTAGTCAAAGCATTTCAAACATTGTTCCTGTTAGGGTTATGCGGTGTCATATAAGTCAGGGACACAACCCAAAGTATTGCACCAAAGTGATTAAGTCAAGGACAATATGGATATATACTAGTATTTAGCCTACACTGATTCATTGCACAACAGATCCCACACCCATTTTTAAACCACCAAGTTTTGAACATGGGATGAATGAGATAGTTTGTAGGAACCAGCAAAGGTAAAGCCTAACTAGCTACCTAGCATGGTGCTGTCATGGAACCCGCATTTGTGGAATCTGGACATATGGAAATCACTCTATGTGAACCTGCACACAGTGAGATGAAACACAACCCCGTAAAAAAGTGTATCCGCACCATAACAATCAAATGGAACTAAGACAAGAAAACAGAACAAATCGTGAATTACTGTTTCGGGAAAGAAACCTACTCTCGACTGTCGGAAATGTGAGAAATGTTGCATTTTCTTTTAATTTAGAACGCAACAGAAAAAATTGTACCGGCTTCCCCACTGCCGTAGATACTTGAGATTCCCACAGCTGTGAATAGATAGATCTTCCACACACGAAAGGTTGCGTAATCACTCTGGCAAGAGCCTTTTGAATCATCAAGTGACAATGATTCCGATTCTTCACCAGTCTAATATCCGTTTATTGCAGAAAACGAGAGTGAGTGAACAATATTGAACAAAAATATACATGGATAATTGATTTGAGATAAAAATAAAGATTACCTGTGATATGTGATATGTGAGATATCTTTGGCCATTCTGGGCCGTCCTTGGCGCATCTTTCTCTGAGACGGGGACAGACATAAATCTCTAGCTCATGTAATTTGGTTAGGCGTTGCATAGCTTCGACGGTAGGCAGATACATCAGATTCTCACAAGAGGAAATTTTCAACTTTGTAAGAGATGTAAGGTCGCCCAACCACTCTGGAAGAGCCTCCACACCATCGAAATCAGAAATGGACAAAGATGTAAGAGAAGTAGAGTGTTGAATTGGCTGAGGCAGAGACTTGAGCTTAGGCCACCCGTACAACTCTAATTCTTCCAGTTGCGATGGGACCTGAAAATCCGGGAAAGAATCGAGCTCCTCGCAGAATGGACCGATCTTCATCCTTTTCAAACGAGATAGAGAGTGCAGCCCCTTGGGCAAATATTGTAATTTCCCACAATTACTAATACATAAATAGGAAAGAGATTGCAAGCTGAACAAATTGTGATCCGCCAAAGATATCAAATTGTGGCAACCATCGACAGACAATTCGGTTAGGCGTTGCAAAGCTTCGACCGGAGGCAGATACATCAGATTCTCACAAGAGGAAATTTCCAACTTTGTAAGAGATGTAAGGTCGCCCAACCACTCTGGAAGAGCCTCCACACCATCGAAATCAGAAATGGACAAAGATGTAAGAGAAGTAGAGTGTTGAATTGGCTGAGACAGAGACTTGAGCTTAGGCCACCCGTACAATTCTAATTCTTCCAGTTGCGATGGGACCTGAAAATCCGGGAAAGAATCGAGCTCCTCGCAGAATGGACCGATCTTCATCCTTTTCAAACGAGATAGAGAGTGCAGCCCCTTGGGCAAATATTGTAATTTCCCACAATTACTAATACGTAAATAAGAAAGAGATTGCAAGCTGGACAAATTGTGATCCGCCAAAGATATCAAATTGGGGCAACCATCGACATCCAATCTGGTAAGAGCTGTGCAGGATGCAAGCCCACTCGGTATACTTGTTAATCCATCACAACTGCTAATACCCAGCACAGTGAGGGACGTGAGGTTGTCTAAACTGGGAATAGCCTCAAGATTAGGACATCTCCGTATAGACATCGTCTCAAGAGAGGCGGGGGTTGGTAGCCCAGGACCCGACAAAGTCCTCAAATTCTCACAAGAGGAAATTCTCAACTTTGTAAGAGATGTAAGGTCACCCAACCACTCCGGAAGAGCCTCCACACCACCGAAATCAGAAATGGACAAAGATGTAAGAGAAGTAGAGTGTTGAATTGGCTGAGACAGAGACTTGAGCTTAGGCCACCCGTACAATTCTAATTCTTCCAGTTGCGATGGGACCTGAAAATCCGGGAAAGAATCGAGCTCCTCGCAGAATGGACCGATCTTCATCCTTTTCAAACGAGATAGAGAGTGCAGCCCCTTGGGCAAATATTGTAATTTCCCACAATTACTAATACGTAAATAGGAAAGAGATTGCAAGCTGGACAAATTGTGATCCGCCAAAGATATCAAATTGTAGCAACCATCGACATCCAATCTGGTAAGAGCTGTGCAGGATGCAAGCCCACTCGGTATACTTGTTAATCCATCACAACTGCTAATACCCAGCACAGTGAGGGACGTGAGGTTGTCTAAACTGGGAATAGCCTCAAGATTAGGACATCTCCGTATAGACATCGTCTCAAGAGAGGCGGGGGTTGGTAGCCCAGGACCCGACAAGGCCCTCAAATTCTCACAAGAGGAAATTGTCAACTTTGTAAGAGATGTAAGGTCGCCCAACCACTCCGGAAGAGCCTCCACACCATCGAAATCAGAAATGGACAAAGAAGTAAGAGAAGTACAGTGTTGAATGGGCTGAGACAGAGACTTGAGCTTAGGCCACCCGTACAATTCTAATTCTTCCAGTTGCGATGGGAACTGAAAATCCGGGAAAGAATCGAGCTCCTCGCAGAATGGACCGATCTTCATCCTTTTCAAACGAGATAGAGAGTGCAGCCCCTTGGGCAAATATTGTAATTTCCCACAATTACTAATACGTAAATAGGAAAGAGATTGCAAGCTGGACAAATTGTGATCCGCCAAAGATATCAAATTGTGGCAACCATCGACATCCAAACTGGTAAGAGCTGTGCAGGATGCAAGCCCACTCGGTATACTTGTTAATCCATCACAACTCCTAATACCTAGCACAGTGAGGGACGTGAGGTTGTCTAAACTGGGAATAGCCTCAAGATTAGGACAATTCCATATATACATTGTCTCAAGAGAGGCGGGGGTTGGTAGCCCAGGACCCGACAAGGTCCTCAAATTTGGACAACCGGTGATATCCAGTGTGCGAAGACTAGTACAGGAATGGAGCCCACTCAGTATACTTGTGAATCCATCGCATCCCTCAATTGTCAATTCACGGAGGGATGTGCAACCGTTTAAAGACAAGTCCTCTTCCTGCTGCTGCTGCTGCTGCTGCTGGTGGAGAGTAGTGCATCTTTCAATAACCAATTTGCAGAGCGAGGGCAGACTGCGAATTGAAGTGCATCTTAGATTTGGGCAACCACGTAATTTCAACTCCTTAAGAGATTGGAATTGTGCAATTGGAAAGGATTTTAGTTTGGGGCATTTCTCAATGGAAATCCTTCCAAGATTCAGCAACTGTCCGAGTGGTGGGACCGCTTCACATTCTCTCCAACCGATTAACTTAATCTCCGTTAAATTAATGAGCAACGAATCACTCATCATCCATGATGCAAATTTAGTACCCATGAAGTTCTTAATCGTCAAGCTTTTTAAGTTGGAGTGCGGTTGGAGTCCTTCAAGAATATCCTCGTCATGATTCGCAGAATGGTGCTTCCCCCAGTTTAATTTCAATTTTTGTAGGTTTGCTTTTCCCACTAAATTTGATTTCATTGCTTCTTCCTTGTCTCTCACATATTCCAATGCTCCAATAACTAGTTCCCCTTTCAATTCATTTAACCCACCTAGCTCATCAAGTCTATGACACCTCGCTCTATCCAAAATAAAAGAAAGTAGCGTTTGCAGATGAGTTAATCTTGTCATCCCAAATGGAACTTCTTTGTACTTATCGAAATAAACATGTCTCAAGTTGATCAAATTTTCCATTTCCCTAGGAAACTTTGTAAGAGTCCATGTCCCTGACATTCTTAACGTCTGAAGATTATAGAGCTTGCCAATAGATTTTGGGAGTTTTTTTATTCTTGTATTAGAAATGTTGAGATATCTCAAGTGTTTCAACTTTCCAATTGAGCTAGGCAAATCCTCTATTGCAGCCTCAGATAAATTCAACATCCGTAAAGCTCTAAACCTTTGGAGGATGTTACTAGGGACCTCCCAATCAACAAACAATGATCGCAATCTCCTAACACTCCCTTGTGGAATTCTTTCAAGTGTCGTGGAAGAAATTCGCCCAACATGCTGAATCTTAAGTGCATCATCCATCTGGTCAGAGTCCCCCATCAAGCTTTCAGATTTAAATATTTCCTCTGCAAGATCATGCACAAGATCGTGCATCTTGCATTTGGTAATACCACCGTACTCATCTTCTATGGCATCTTGAAATAAGGAGTTTTGCAATAGAATATTAAAATATTTATTGCCTATATCCTCCATGCTCATGTTGGGAGAGGAATGGAGATATCCTTGAGCCATCCAAAGCTGGACCAAGTTATCTCGTTCAATTTCAAAATCTTTTCTAAACATTGAACAATATGCAAAACATTGTTTCAAGAATGGCGACTTCAAATTATCAAAACTTAACTTCAAAACCGACATGATTTTCTCCTCTTCATTTGGTAATTCCCATATCTTACTTTGTAGAATTGACAACCATTCACGTGTACTATAGTTAGAATGCATAATGCTTCCCAAAACCTATTAACAAATAAATTAATAGTTTAATACTTGATCAGATCAATTAAATACAAGTGTTAGAATAAAATCATCATGTTTATAACTTAGTAATTGAAGAGTTCGTAAAGGCCGTAGTTTGAAAGAGCGTTTTGTAAAGGGGTGTGCTATCCACACACTTCTTTTTACTTCTCACACACCTCTTGTTAATTTATGTCCGTTAATCTTCTTCAATTATCCGATCCAACGATCGAAAACTAAAAAGGTGTGGAAGAAGTAAAAAGGGATGTGTGGATATCACACCCCTTTGTAAAATGCAAGCTATTCCTAGATTAAGAGTACTGTTACTTAACCACTTGTCTTATTTCTTCACCCACTATCAAATTTAAAAATGAAGTTTTTGAAATTTAGTCCTTAAATAAGATTGAAATCTAATAACAATAAAATAATAATAAAAATAACTTTAAAAAAAAGATATGAAGTGAAAATAAAATAAAAAGTTCACAAATAAAATGGAAATAAAAAATGAAGATTAGGAAATATCAAGTGGGCGGTGAAGATGGTTGTGGCTACATCATGATAGGTTGCACCATTTCAGCAACCTCCACGACCTTCTTCTCGATGTTTGCTAATTGAGTTGTAGGGTGAAGTTAGGGGTTATGCGTTAGGTTTGGAAGTGATGGCCTAATATGGGTGGTGGTGACCGTTACTTGGTGGAGACCATGCTTCCATTAATTTCTATTGATTTTGGAGACAAAGTAAGCCCTAGATGATTTAACAGAAATTTAATTTTCGATAGGTTTGATACTTGTTTGAAATGTTTAAAAAGGTTGAGACCAATTTGGACACAAAAAGGTTTTTTTTTTTAATTAACGATATTATCTACGCTAAGAGGGTGAGGGAATAGGATAAGCCTCACAATGGGTTAGCAATAATGTGATTTAAATTCGCTTTTGGCAAGAATTAAACCTAATATCCCTCACTTACAAGTAACAAAGAACCACTAGACCGGAATACTAAGTGACGAGAGGTTTTAAGTACTTAATTCTAAATTCTAGATTATATATTGATTTTAGTCCTTTCACTAGATATTTAATGTCTATCTTCATTCTAAAAATTATCCTCATAAATATTTGATTTTATGCTTAACTTCATCCAATTATAAATGAGAAAATATTTCCAAAAAAAAAATATTAGAAATACGAAAAATATGCAAATCCATAAGTGTATCTAAATATACTAAAAGATGTACTAAATGTTTGTACCAAAATGTACATTAATGTACTTAAGTGTATGTAGCAAAATATTGTATGAGTTGATGTACCTACTTTTTTGTTGCAAAATATTATATGAGTTGATGTACCTACTTTTTTGTATCAAAATATATAAAATGAATTAATGTAACTAAATGAAGAACGTAAAGTATATCGAATTATATTGTTTAAAAAAATTAATGTACCTAAATGTATATATCAAAAATATTATCATGAATAAAATGAAAAGATAATTAAATGCATTAACATAATGTGAACACATGGTATTACTATTATAGCTAGGAGGAAAAGACTAATAAAACCTCAAATTATAAATAATAAGTGAGGTAATTAAATGTATTTTGACTTGGATATTGAGTAATGGGACTCGAATTAGACTATAATCTTACACAAGGTATTAATATAAGAGTAACCTTTTTCAACGATTAATTAAATTAAATCTTACACCCAAAAAACCCCCACCCATCCTTCTATTTCTATATTTATGTTATTAAAATAGAATTTCAAATACATAACAACAAGGGGAAATATAATAATATATCAATGCATACCTTTGCCACCAATGGTACACCAACACACTTTTTAGCTATGTCCTTTCCAATGCGCTCTTGATCTGAATCTAGAGGAAAAACATTACCATTTGATAATGCTTTACTCTTTATTATGGACCAACAATCCTCCACTGGTAGGAACCCCAAATCACACCTAGGCATTGTCTCCATGATTGATGCAACCTTAGCACTGCGGGTAGTAACAAGGGTAATGCTTCCGGGGGCAGAATTGAGTCCAGACAACCAACTCTTAAAATTGCTCCATAAATCCTCATCTTCATTCCAAACATCATCGAGTATCAGAATATATCTCTTCCCTTTCAAACTTTCGTTGAGTTGTTTCAGCAATGCTTCCCGACCCTGAAGTCCAGCGTTTTTTGGGTCGAACAATTCAAGCATCCTACGTAGAATCAAATTAACCTCAAAAGTGTTGGACACACACACCCACAATTTTTCCTGAAAATGTCTACCAATAGCATCATCATTGAATATTGATTTTGCCAAAGTCGTCTTTCCGAGTCCCCCCATTCCCACAATGGCCTTAACCGAAAGGTTCTTTTCCTGATTCTTGGACTCGATCAACGTTGCAATGATATCCGACACAATCTTCTCCCTTCCGATGATCTTCTCATCATGACCGAAGCTTGAGACGGTTTCTCTGTCCCCTGTACTTGGAGGGGTTGGATCTACTCTCCTTTCAACTAAGCCAATGAAAGATGCCTTACTCTTGAGAACCGCCAGTGAGGCACTGATGTTCTTAATCTTGTGTGCCATATTTTGACGAAATAAAATGGGATTGGAGAGCCAAAAGAAGTTAAGTACCTTCTTCTTCATGTGGTCTTGAATTTCTATTTTACGCCGGAGAACTTCGTAGTTGATGTCCTCCAAGACGTCATCGGCATCTTCAGCTACGTCTTTCAGTTCCTTGACCCAGTTTCTGACTGCCATGCCCTGATCCTGTGGTTTGTGGGCAACATCGCCTAAGAACCCTTGAATTTCCATTAACGATTGATGAAGCTCAGTTCGTTCTTTTTTGAATCGTCGGAAAAGACCGATTTCTTGAGCAGCAAGTGAAGCGACCGACTTCAGTATTCCCTCCACCGGAAAAGTGTAGAGAACTTCTAGCACCTTTACAGGATCCATACCGGGCCGATAAGGGGAGATTAGAGAGAGGAATGCAGAGAATGGAGAGAAAGCCAAGGAAGGACACAAGAAGAGGGAATAAGTTGAATGAAAGGCTTAACAATAATTCAAGAAAATGTGGTATAAGAAGAAAGGACCCCTTATAATTGATGCCACTTTACACCTGTGAGCGTGAACATAATGTTCAAGAGTGGAGTGTGGTCCAGCAATATAAACCGAAGATTACTTGGCTGCTAAACGTTCCAGTAGGATCTTCTGCTTACATCCAATCGGATGGACATATGTTCAAATTTTATTAAAAGAATCAAAATTTGAATACGTGTTCACTCGAAATTGGATGTAAGCGGTAGCTTTTGCTGAAATGTTCAGCAGTCGAGCATCGTTCATGTGAACCCATCTTATCAGCAAAGATTCTTTCTAAACAACCTTAGTCAATAATGGAGGCCATTCTTTCTAAACAACTTTAGTCAATAGTGGAGGCCATTCTTTCTAAACAACTTTAGTCAATAGTGGAGGCCACCCTTAATAAAGTAATGAGGATTGAATTGAAAAGATAAAAAAGAATATCATGTTATTTAATATTATGATTTAGTGGTATTTTTTTTTTATTTGTAAATGAGAGATATTAAGTTCGATTCTCGTCAAAGATAAAGTTGAACAACATTATTGTTAAACTCACACCCTTTCTCTTAATGTACGTAATATCTTTTGTAAAAAAAATTTTTAAAAAAAAAGGACAAAATATAAACCCATTTTGTTAGCAAATATGCTCTAAAAATTAATTACCTAGCATTATTCATATAATTATCATTTTCCCCTCTTTATGTAAATATTGTGTATGAGAGCAAATTAAAAAAAATGGGAATATGATTGTCATTTTGTCAAAAAGTACAAAATTACTATTTTGCCCTCATTTTTCTCAAAAATGAGGGCAAAATTGGAAAAATTAGGGAATAAAGTTGACAATGTGTCTTCTCTTAATATATACCAGCATATAAGCACACACAAAGTGTGTGAGAAATTTTTTTTATTTTTGTTTTTGAAATAGGAGAGAGGAAGAGAGGAAAAGAGTGATAGAGAGAATGTGAGAGTGGGAAGTTTTTTTTATTATTATTTTTTATTTATTATTAAATTAGATATATGTTAGGATTACATATATGTGAGGGTTTGAAAAATAACAGCAAAATTTGGTTGTGTGAAATTACATTTCTGCCCCATATTTCTTATTCATGTTCTATTTTAATTAGAGGGTTAAACTAGTAATTCCATAAGGTTTTGTTTGACAATAAATGTTTTATTAATTAGTAGAGATAGTATAGATAAAGAGTAATGCTATTCATATCATGTTTTTATACCACATTTTCATATCATCGTAGGTGATATTTGATGTAAACAGTCATATCATTTGAATTAATCAGATTTTTAAATTTCATTCATTATTTAATAAACTAATAATTAAGAAAAACTAGTTAATTAAATGATGATTGTGACATACGACGAGTTTTTCTCCTCATTTCCTTGGGTTTTGTAAATTTTTCAAATTATGTGTTTGTTCACATCAGATACTATCGAAAATGGTATAGAAATATAGTATAAAAACATAATATGAATAACATTACTCATAAATAAAAGATAAAAGATAGAAGATGTGTATAAGAAGATGAGAGAAACATATCAAGATGATAGGACCCCTATAATTGATGCCACTTTACACCTGTGAACTTGATTAGTCAATATTTATTGGTCTTCCATGAATTTTTGTCAGGACTCAGTACTGGTGACTATTCAACCCTACTCGGTCCTGTCACTTCATTTCAACATGATTTCGCATAGGGGTATTTACCCATTTAACTTTACTTTTCATTCTTAATTTTACTAAATCAATTGAAAAAGAATAATTATACAAAATTAACAAAAATGTGTTAGAAATAAAAATGATTGTGTGAATAAGACTTTCACATAAAATGTGTTTTCTTTTACACAGTCTAGCTAGAAATTTGTCTCTTATACGTCGAATTGGGTAGTAATTTACACTCATCATTCTACGCTTTTCATTGATTATGGTAAACCTAAACCTAATGAGAAAATGTGGTAGCTATTACAATCGAACGCTAGGAATTCATCTCCACCACTACACATATCTGATAAAGAGCGTTTAAATTGGTCTTGGTTTTAGCAGTTTATAAATACGTCAAATCCAACGAAATCAAACCAAACTAATTATAGTTTGATTTAGTTCAACCTAAAATTGCATTTCTTTTTCATTATAAAAGTCATACCAAACTTCTTAGATTGATTTTTATACAACAATATATATATACACACACACACATAGCTAAAAGTTAAATCAAAACTTTTTGGATTGGGGTGTAGTATAAATTTGTATCGAACTCGTCATTCATAAGATTCAAACTTAAGACCTATTATTTATAACTAAAGAAAAATATCGTTAGATCATAATATTAAATGACAAACTCTTGGATGGTTTTGTTTGAACAGGATTTTCATACCACGATATATTTACATTAAATTGAGATAAAATGACAAGAATGCTCTCCGGATCCTTATTTAGGAACTTCCACCACTATCTCTGAGAGCTTATTTAAAGATTTTAAGGAAATATTCGGGTCTTTAAAAGAATATTGTTTTTTATGAAAAGTTCTTGTAGTGTAATCTTCAGATTAATATAAAAACTAAACTATTGAAAATTTATTATTAATGGATGAAAAAACTAAAAAAATATCTCTACCCTTAGTTTTTCAACAATTGAAAAAAAAAAATTACGTGAAAAACTAAAATGAAAATTTCACGTGGGTGGGATCAACAAACAAGGTAAAAGACAAAAAATCAGCTGGTGTTGTGTCACTTTTATGCACAAAATCAACAAAGGCCCACTATACAATTTTCACATTTGAGGTTTTTTTTTGAAGTATTTAGTGAGTTTTTATATATTGAAATACTTTTTGACAAAAAAAATATGGGAATATTTTAAAGACTTTAATTTCGACTCTTTAAAAACTTTTTGTCTCTATATTTAGAGATTCTACTATTATAAAGACTTTGTTTAGGTTCTTTATTGGAGATGTTCTAACAGGATTAAAAAGTGAAAGCAGAGCCAGACCACATAAATATAAATTCATCTTATCTGCAACCTCTTTCGACAATTTTAGGCGATGGTAGAGACCCAACTTTAACAAAGTAAACTAAAAATATTTATAAAAAATAAGAACAAATTCATTAGTACATCCAAAAGTGTATGTACAATAAGGGGATTCAAATTAAATACGTATTCATTCTTCAGTCCGAGAGTCATCAGATAAAAAAAAGCCTCCAAGTAATTGTTAAAGATTGGAATTCACGGAACGACCATACAAATTCTACATATGTCATTCGGTTTAGAAGTTGATCACTACGTGTACTTTCAGTAATATCTTGTTTAGAATTTGTTTGGATTTACAGATCCTCCATCTTCCAAGATAAGAGGAAAATTTTCCAACACTGCCTTCCTTGTAATTGCTGTAAGGAGATGAGTTGTTGTTTTCATGGGGAAGGTCCTAATGAATCCTACAGCCACTGGACCCCATCCCACATGAATCATGTTACCGGTGGCACCATTGTGTTTGGCAATCAATAATTAATGGTGGGGTTGGGAAGAAGGGAAGGATTTATGTACTTAAGGCAGTGGATTAATTGATCGCCATCGTACCATACATCTCGATGATTATATTGATATAACAAGAAGGAAGTTGAACGAAATACCTAAGTTAGAATTCACAAGCAATTTGAAACCCATTAAAAATCGGAGAAAATCTCAAAATCTACTGATTGAATAATATAAAAGGGGTAATGCTAGGAAGACCATCTATTTAAACTGTGGTAATGCTAGGAAGACTATCTATTTAAACTATGCAACATGGTTGTTGACAATTGAGTTATTACATAAATCTTAATTAACATGCTTATTTTTTATTGGTGACATACCAGATTCCAAATAGCACAACAATGCAGCAAGCGGAGAATCTTTCGTAGTAGCATCATGCAGAATTACGTACAATAATTTAAGTATCAAACAAAATGTAAACTTCATTGTGGAACCATCCATGGTGAATGAAATAATGACATAAAAGTAAATAAGAAAAGAGCTTGACCTAATATAGATATTTCATATCCAAAATGTCCTTACGATTAAAACCAAGTGTAGCAAAGAGGTTTTCATTAAACCCCTCCAAAATTTATTGATTGAATAATATATAAGCTCATAACTCTAACACTTAGACTTAATACAAAATTACTGAAAATAATACCCTAAAATCTTAGAATGCTGATTTAACTTGGTAAAAAGAGAGAGTTCAACTTAAAAAGCTTAGACATCACAACAAAGTAGTGGGTTGAATTTGTGACATTGTTCCTTTTGAAACGCTGGTTCTACACATAAATATTATCGTGAATTAATGATAACAACCAGAATTCTCCTTTAAAGCAGCACGGGCAAGTTCATGAGCAGCATGGTACTTGGTTACATGAGAATATTTCTTTCTTAAAATTGTGACATATCACGACTTTCCGTACTTAAGAATTTCTTGTGTGCCAAATGATTTAGATTCGTGCAATGATCAATTAAAACACTTTGAAGATTTAGCCAGTGTCCGAGTGGTGGGACTGCTTCACATTCTTCGCACCTGTATAGGATAATTTCTATTAAATTGATTGGCAACAAATCACTCATCATCCATGATGCAAATTTAGTACCCATGAATTTCTCAATTGTCAAGCTTTTTAAGTTGGGGTGCGGTTGGACTCCTTCAAGAATATCCTTGTCAAGAAAATTGCCATTTCCTTCCTCGAGAGGGACCGACCGCCAGCTTCGGTCCAATTCTCGTGGGTTTGCTTTTCCCACTAAATTTGATTTCATTGCTTCTTCCTTGTCTCTCACATATTCCAATGCTCCAATAACTAGTTGCCCTTTCAATTCATTTAACCCTCCTAGCTCATCAAGTCTATGACGCCTTGCTCTGTCCAAAATAAAAGAAGGTAGCGTTTGCAGATGAGTCAATCTTGTCATCCCAAATGGAACTTCATGACACTCATCAAAATAAACATGTCTCAAGTTGATCAAATTTTCCATTTCCCTAGGAAACGTTTTAAGCCTCCTTGCTCTTGACATTCTTAACGTGAAGATTATAGAGTTTGCCAATAGATTTGGGGAGTTCTTTTATTCTTGTCCTACAAATGTTGAGATACCTCAAGTGTTTCAACTTTGCAATTGAGCTGGGAAAATCCTCTATTGAGCCTTGGATAAATTCAACATCTGTAAAGCTCTAAACCCTTGGAAGATGTTACTAGGGACCTCCCAATCAACAAACAACGACCGCAATCTCCTAACACTCCCTTGTGGAATTCTTTCAAGTGTCATGGAAGAAATTCGCGCAACATGCTAAATCTCAAGTGCATCATCTATATGGTCGGAGTCCCACATCAAGCTTTCATATTTAAATACTTCCTCTGCAAGATCATGCACAAGATCGTGCATCTTGCATTCGGTAATAACACCGTACTTATCTTCTATATATAGCATCTTGAAATAAGGAGTTCTGCAATAGAATATTAAAATATTCATTGGCTATATCCTCCATGCTCATGTTGGGAGAGGAATTGAGATATCCTTGAGCCATCCAGAGCTGGACCAAGTTATCTCTTTCAATTTTAAAATGTTTTCTAAACATTGAACAATGTGCAAAACATTGTTTCAAGAATGGCGACTTCAAATTATCAAAACTTAACTTCAAAACCGACATGATTTTCTCCTCTTCATTTGGTAATTCCCATATCTTACTTCGTAGAATTGACAACCATTCACGTGTACTATATTTAGTACGCATCACGTTCCCAAAACTAATTAACAAATAAATTAATAGTTTAATACTTGATTAGATCAATTGAATACAAGTGTTGGAATAAAATCATCATGTATATAACTTAGTAATTGAAGAGTTCGTAAGGGCGGTAGTTTGAAAAAGCGTTTTGTAAAATGCAAGCTATACCTAGATTAAGAGTACTGTTACTTACCCACTTGTCCACTTGTCTTATTCCTCCACCCACCATCAAATTTAAAAATGAACTTTTTGAAATTTAGTCCTTAAATAAGATTGAAATCTAATAGCACTAAAATAATAATAAAAATAACTTAAAAAAAGACATGAAGTGAAAATAAAAAACAAATTCACAAATAAAATGGAAATAAAAATGAAGATCGGGAAATATCAAGTGCGCGATGAAGATGGTTGTGGCTGCATCATGACAGTTTGCACCATTTCAACAACCTCCACGACCTTTTTCTCGATGTTGGCTAATTGAGTTGTAGGGTGAAGTTAGTGGTTGTGCGTTGGGTTTGGAGGTGATGGCCTGATATGAGTGGGGGTGACCGTTAGTTGGTGGAGACCATGCATGCTTCCATAAATTTCTATTGATTTTGGAGACAAAGTAAGCCCAAGGTGATTTAACAAAAATTTAATTGGGGCATAACAGATGTGCCATTTTCAATAGGTTTGATACTTGTTTGAAATGCTTAACAAGGTTGAGACCAATTTGGAATGACACTAAAAGGTTAGAGGGTTTAGGTACTTTTTTTTTTTATAAACAAACAATATTATCTACACTAAAAGGGTGAGGGAGTAGGATAAGCCTCACAATGAGTTAGCAATAATGTGGTTCAAATTCGCCTTTGTTAAGAATTGAACCTAATATCTCTCACTTACAAATAAAGAATAACCACTAGACTGGAGTACTAAGTGACAAGAGGTTTTAAGTACTTAATTCTAGATTATATATTGATTTTAGTCCTTTTACTAGATATTTAATGTCTATGTTCATTCTAAAAATTATCCTCATAAATATTTGATTTTTATGCTTAACTTCATCCAATTATAAATGATAAAATATTTCCAAAAAAAAATATTAGTAATACAAAAAATATGCAAAACCATAAGTGTATCTAAATATATTAAAAGATGCACTAAATGTTTGCACTAAAATGTACATTAATGTACTTAAGTGTGTAGCAAAATATTATATGAGTTAATGTACCTAAGTTTTTGTATCGAAATATATTATTTCCACCAAGCAAGACACAATGCTCATACCCCTGCCATGGCATATCTGGACAAGTCCTACCCTCCTCCAACCTCCATCAACCCCATCCCATGACCTCGTCGGCTCCGGCATCATGTGCAAGCTTCAAGCTCACTAAATCATCCCAGATTTCGTCGGGGCAGTCTAGCAAATGTTTGCCAATGTTGGTAGCTCAAACGTGTCAATGTCTAGCAAGTTTAATCTTGGTGGTGTAGAGCAGTATAGGGCCTATAGTTAATGACACTGATGTTTCGGATTCGGAGGAAGAATCTGGGCATGGGAATGAAACGAAACAACACACCTGCGTATATGGATTCGCACCAGGTAATGACAGCACTTCGACCGGGGCGTCCGTGTTAGAGAATAATGCAGTACCTGGCAAGAGTTATTCAGTGTGCACGGTCGACAGTGGCAATCTTGTAATTGAATAAAGCCAAGTGTAACTTCAACTTTGATAGTGGTCCTTTAAAGCCAATATTGCTTGGTTCCCATTTGTTTACGTCTAGAAAAATTTCGGTTCAACTGTCTAGTTAGATCTGTTCTTAAGTTGAATGTGATTAATATGAATCGGAAGAGACTAAAATGCAAGCGAGTCTTAAATTTTTGTGTAATTTGGCATATAATTAACATGGTCACCATCCTTTCTTTTGTTAAGTATGTTTTGACGAATTCTTAAGAAAAATCATTCTAGACTACTTTAATTTAGTAACAATTTTTTGAACAAAATCTAAGATACAAACACATTATCTTTTCAACTGATATCATCTTTAAGAACTTTTATACTAAAAAATAGAGTAAAAAGGGATCATTTTAATACTAGATCCTTAATCATTAAATCTTTAAGTATTGAATCCTTGACACACATTTTATTATTGAATCATTGTCACACATCCAACTCTTAGTTCAGTCGATACGGACTATACCCAGGAGAAGAGTAAATTTTCAAAAACTTAATCCATTTCGTAAAAGTTTAACCATCCGGCAGGAAAGTAATTTTAATATAATAAGTGGATGCGACTGTGACTGATGAGAGAGATTCTCTCTTTCTTCTTCAAACGGAGTTCCGACCGGCCAAAATCCCAACTTGGAAATGCCCTGTTCTTTGCAAAGTTGTCATCTTTGGATCCTTGTTCTTTGCAAAAAGCTTTAACCGATCGGTTTCTAGGGTTTTTCTGTTTGGCTTCTGAGAAAATCCAGTCTCAAGTTTTGTGCTTCACTGTACTCAGGTCAGTTCAAAACTTTCATTTTCTCGGCAACCAAACAGGAAATAGCATTTCTTTTTGGCTAATGCTTAGTGGGAATGCAACTGTTACTCACTCTCATAAAGCATAGATTCATTCCTCATAGATTAGACTGTCTGCTAATTGCAACTGAAATTTACACTGGGATTGCTTGGATTCTGATTAGCATTGTTGAGATTAGTCTTAATTAATCAGTTCTGACTATGCAGGTTACGAGTCTAGTGTTTACTTAGATTGAATTAGCAAGCTTTATTAAGGAAGATCTCACCTTTATTTTCTGTGATTAATTGTGACTGTTCTGGAAATGCTAATGTGCTAATTCTTTGTTCTGCAGAATTGCTAATAACTAGTGAATTTCAACCTCTTTGTTTTGGTTTTCGGCATGACCCCGATTTCAGGACAGATCTATGATCTAACTGTTAATGAACTGCACTGTTGGATTTTGATTGTGCATAATTTGTGCTGTTGTGGGAATCTATGCAGGATTTGGTTTTGCAAGTGAGTCAATTTCCTGCTAAGATGTTTCGGTAGCTTCTGAATTATCTGCATTGCAAGTATTAGTGCCTAGTATGGAGTACACATTTCAATTTCCTAAGCTATGCAATATAGAACCCCGGAGTCGGAGATGGCTTTTTCTTCTCGGGGTAGTGTCTGTTACTTATTTATCGATTCAGTCGCTTTTGCTTCCCTATGGCATTGCTCTTCGGTCTCTATCGCCTCACAGTGAGGTTCCAGCACAAGTCAAAGGTAGCGGCCTCCCTGTTCATTCTTCTGCCAAGTCCATGATGGTTCGCAATCGTCTCATGGTAAATTCTTCGGATTCGATTGATGTTTCTATGTTTGGAGGGAAAATTAGGCAGGGTACTAAACCAAATGGAAAGGATGTATCTAGGGAAATCGATTTAATGTTAGAAGAAAAAGAAATAGACAATGATTTTGAAAGTGACACTGATCGAAAGGTAGATGATGATTTCCCGTCTGAGAATGTTGTAGTCATAAATGAAAGTCTCAGCATTAAGAATCGAGAAACTGTTACTATTTTGGATAAGGCTGATGGAACTAGGGATGGCTTCCATTTGGAGAAGATTGTGTTGCCGAACTCTGAAATTACTAGGGAGAATGCTTCAAAACAAAATTCAACCGTGACAGCAAAAAAATCTGATGGTGTCAAAACTGCTTTTCCATCATATCCACTCATTTTACCTGCAGTGAATTTGTTAGAAAATAGAAGCACTTCCATTGGTTCTACTTCCTTGAAAAGTGGTGTTGTGGCTTCAAAAAATGGTTCTGTAGTGACGACAAGACCTGGGAAGAAGAAGATGAGGTGTGAATTGCCACCAAAGTCGATAACATCAATATCTGAGATGAATCGTATACTAGCGCGGAAGCGCGTTTCTTCTCTTTCACCGGTAAGATACTGCTGCTGCTAATCTAATCATCCCCCAATCAATTTGTTATGGTTCCTAACTTCTTCCATTGATTGTAGAAACCACGATGGTCCTCTGTACGTGACCAGGAGATTCTAGCTGCGAAGTCACAGATCGAGCATCCTCCTATTGCAATAAATGATCCAGAACTTTATGCTCCTCTCTTTAGAAATGTTTCCATGTTTAAAAGGTGGTTGGAATTAAATTTTAAGAGGTAAAGTTAATTTTAATGCTAAGTGGAAGTGATTCCGTTTACAGTAACATTTTGTTCCATTCTCAGGAGTTATGAACTTATGGAACGAACGCTGAAAATCTATATCTACAAGGACGGAAACAAGCCGATCTTTCATCAACCAATACTCAAGGGTTTATATGCTTCAGAAGGATGGTTCATGAAACTGATGCAGGGATATAAGCGTTTTCTTGTGAAGGATCCTAGCAAGGCTCATCTTTTTTATATGCCATTTAGTTCCCGGATGCTAGAGTATGCTCTATATGTACGTAACTCTCACAACCGTACAAACCTACGCCAATTTCTGAAGGAATATTCCGAAACAATTGCAGCAAAGTATCCTTATTTTAACAGAACTGATGGGGCAGATCATTTTTTTGTTGCTTGCCATGACTGGGTATGCTCTCCATGCACCTTTATTTTTTCTTGCTTTTTCCTACGTGACTAATATCTGCTTCGTTATTAGTAATAAGATACTACGGTAGTAAAATGGGATTCCACAAATGGTTTTGAGATTCATACGTACTGCCAAGATTCTCATGAAAATGAATCCTATCATATTGGACATTGATGTTTACTTATTTCAAAAGTCAAGTACCATATGTTCTGTCTATAAATGTGTACTGTGTCCGCCCACACGAATGTATTTCTTACATGCGTGTGTCTCAGAGTGCATGCCTTTCTAACATGTGAGGTTGACTTTTCTAGGCTCCATATGAAACAAGGCACCACATGGAGCGCTGCATCAAAGCGCTTTGCAATGCTGATCCGACTTCCGGCTTCAAAATAGGAAGGGATGTGTCTCTTCCAGAGACATATGTTCGTTCAGAGAGAAATCCCCTTGTAGATCTTGGAGGAAAACCTCCTTCTCAAAGGAAGATCCTTGCCTTTTTTGCTGGAAATATGCATGGCTACTTACGTCCAATTCTGCTAGAGTACTGGAAGGACAAAGCCCCCGATATGAAGATTTTTGGCTCGATGCCTCCCGGTGTTGCAAGAAAATTGAATTACATCCACCACATGCAGAGCAGCAAATACTGTATCTGCCCCAAGGGTTATGAGGTCAACAGTCCACGAGTGGTCGAAGCAATATTTTATGAGTGCGTACCTGTGATCATATCTGACAACTTTGTGCCGCCATTTTTCGAGGTTTTGGATTGGGGGGCATTCTCTGTGATTCTTGCAGAGCAAGACATTCCAAAGTTGAAGGAGATACTAGTTTCGATACCAGAAGAGAAGTATCTTCAGCTGCAGCTAGGGGTCAGGAAGGTTCAGAAACATTTTCTGTGGCATGCTAAACCCCTCAAGTATGATCTCTTCCACATGACACTTCATTCGATTTGGTACAACCGAGTTTTTCAGTTAAAACTCCGTTAAGTTCTGCTGAAATTCCCCGACGAACAGAGGTGGAGATGCTAGCACACGAAATAGAAATGAGGCAGTTTCCGATCGCGTCTTGTTCTACCTGTGAAGCTGTAGAAAGAGTGTTTAAATGCTACACCACGAAATTAACTGTGAGTAAAGCTTTTCAACTGTTTTGTAAGTAACATATTTCACATTATCCTGTTTTGTAAATAATTTCTTTCTTCTAATCCCAATAGCTGAAACTGTTACTACTAGTTGCTACCAGTAAGAAATTCACACACCTGAAAGCTATCTTTTAACGGCTAAAGTATGCATAGTGATCACCAAGACAAATGAAGGTGGTAAAGATAAGTTTTAGAGCGTGACGGACACGAGGACTTTCATGGCGCGGACACCAATGTGACAGTGTTCCGTGGCATATGAGTTGCTGTGTAACTGACAGTTTGATATAACAACAACAAAGCCTTTTTCCACTAAATGAGATTGGTTATATGAATCCTAGAAGGTCATTGCGTTTGGTTAGTGTTATTTCGTTCAGAATTCATTATCATGATTCGACATAAGATATGAGTATCGACTGTTTACTACCTGACGCCCTCTTCCTCCTTTATCCGGATTTGGGACCGACAAAATCAACGTAACAGTGTTCCATGACATGTAAATTGCTCAGTGACTGAGTTTGACGTAGGATCCCCAGCATGGTTCATTGAGCAACGAGATGTCTCCACGCCAACCCAAAAGAGTTCGTTCCCAACACGCCGCGTGTTTCCTCTTCTCTCACGCACGAGCGAGCTATCCACTTTGAATTTTGATTTGAGTAGTCACTGAGAGACATCGACGTCTTCTTGGTGGGTCCCAGCTGTTCCACTAGCTGACTGTTTTCTGCCCGCACCAGAAAAGCACCACGTATACTTCTCCATCTTCAATGTTCAAACCTTGTCCCCTTTGTTACCCTACAATTGTCACCGCTTCCGAGTTTCGATCCTCAAATTCTGGGTTTTACTGTTATGGCGGAAGTTTAACAATTATTTCTCCGTTTGCCAATGTTTTTATTTTTTTATTAGTTTTTCAAATACTCATTTGTTGAATGACGAAATGAATGTCAACTCATACATTTTTGCCAATTTGAAGACGACTTTCTCCTCTAATTTTCATAAAAATGGTAGGACGTGGTTTTTATAGACTAAAGCATTTTCTACCTTCAATTGACATTAAAAATTTCCATCATTTCTTCATTCTACAAACATTGGACCATGTTACACAAAAACGTGAAGTTTAATTCACTCATCATGCATCTCCGCTTAAAAATGACTAATACAATAGAAGTCATTATAACAATATTGTAAATTTAACACTCTAACATCTCGAAAATGAGTTATTTCCCTTTGCCACCTTGGCTGCTGTTAAAGTCCTATGGTGGGCCAGAGCATCCACGAAATAAAGGTAACTGGATAACGATAATCTATTGCTCCATTGCATCCCCCACGACAGGGAAAATTTTTAGGTGTACCGGGTACACCAAAAAAATTTGGTGTACCCTCACTCATTAGAATTTTTTTGGTGTACAAAAAGTGAGGGTGCACCAAATTTTTTTGGTGCACCCTCACCATTATGAGTGAGGGTACACCAAATTTTTTTGATGTACCGGGTACACCGAAAAATTACTCCCACGACAGCTCTTTTCTCATTCGGTTGGTACCATTCCCAATATTCCACTAATCCACTTCTCTCTCTTGTCCTTCTCATTCATTAACTTCACTTATTTCAAGATTTCAACTTCGAAATTTAGTTTGGACTTCATTGGAAATGGGGTCTGTAGATACTTGTCCCTCACTCTTCCCTCTATAAATTCAAGTGGCTTTGCTTCTGAGCAGGAACCTGCTTCTGGGGTTTTCATATCGTCCTCCTTTGACTGTAAGTTGCTATCTTTCTGCTATTTTACTTGCATTTTGTTTGCAATAGTGGAGTTGTTTTGTTGTGTTTTTTGTTCCATATGATTGATTTGCACATCTGGTTTTTGTTGCTGTACCTTAATTGTGTCAAAGTTCCAACCTTTTAAGTTTTCTTGTTGTAAGTTCAGGATTCAAAGAGTTAATGGGCGATGTGGTTTTTGAGAATGATATATCTGAAATGCCCGTCACAGTAAGTACTTTCAACTTCACAATTCTGCATTATTGCAGACCATCTCTACTTTTTCTGTGAGTGAGTGTATATTTTGTAATCTCTCCTCTATTGTAAGTTTGTAACTCTTATTTTTTCGCCTTCCGACTTAATCTTCAATCCTTTCCGCCATCTGATCTACATCAACATGTTAAAATTCGGAAGCAGCTTCCGGTCCATATCTTTAAAGTTTGTTTTTTAACATCTATCTGTAGTTTTGTGTCAGTTTGATTTCAAACATTGTGTTTAAGGTGCTAATATAGGTAATTGTATCAGGTTTATAATGATACCGTGAGGAACACGAGTTTTCGTTTCGATAGCTTGGGATTCTATTCGTCGATGGATGACATTTTCACCCGTCTATTGACATTGGCTAGTTACATTAGTCATCGATTTGTTCAATTTATCGGTGAGTAGTTTTTTCTATGCTTACATGTATGCATAGTTGCATAATGTATACTAATGCTGATGTTATATTCTCATAACATAATGAATGGATTTGGAAATGGTGTTATTGCAGAGGATCTCGCACGTAGAGATGCTGATAGATGTTCAGATGATTTGCTGGTCAATTCTGCTGGACAGCATTTAAGATCATTGAGACACGGTGTTTGTAATTTTTTTGCTGAAGGTTGTTCATCGTCTTCAAACTCTTGTATTTCCGGTCGAAACCCTGGAATCTGTGAAAGAGCCTCAGAGCCCGGGGAAGACGCTAGAACTGAAATTGTAGCCGCCAATTCCAGTTATGCAGTAGTCCCATTCATCTTTAAAGGGTAATACCATTTGGTCCAATTACGAGAAAACACCATGATCCCATCTACTTTTAAGTTTTAAACTGAATGATAAATTTTAAATATTTAATCTGTTGCTTCATCCTGATGTAGGTTACTACTGCCATTACATGGTTTACAATTCGCATGGAGGTTGGCAATGTCTTGTTGCAGAAGCTCTGTGGCATACGTTAGATGTACTCATCTTCGAATTTGTAGGTAAAGAAGCAGATTCTAGTTATACAAAATTGCAAACTGATGAATCCATATACCGTAGTCTATGGATCGTTTCTTTTAGTTTTAGTTCAGATTGGATTTTATTTTACTTCGAGTAAGAAATTTGTTGCTTTTACATGTCATCATTCATTGTTTTAGATTCTCGTAGGTTAACATTCATTTTGCATTTGTCAGCATTGCATCTCGAATACAGAAATCATTGCGAGGCTCATCAGATGATATTGGATGGTTGCAGCACACTGACGGCATGCCTGGTGTGGAGGATGGTACAGCAAGATTTTTGGAATTGCTTGTAGGAATTAGGTACCATCTAATATAATAAGCTCGACTGCACTAGACGGTTGGATCTGTTAAGAACTGAGTTCAATTTGTTTTTATGTGCTGTTCAGATATTTGATCAATTGTGTTTACTAGTGTGTTCATGTGTTTATATATTCTTATTGCTTGTATGCCATGCTGTATACTTCAGGAATGGAGAGCACCGACTTCCCAGCTCATATGTCTATCTACTAATTCCCGGTACAGAAGATTTATTTTTCCCTGAGTTTTGATTTTGTTCTTCTCACCCGTTCAATCCACATTTAGCGTTTTGCTCATATAGTTACAGGAACTTTAAACTTTCAGGCCTCTTTAGCAATCACGGCCCCTTATACTTTGTTGGAACTAAGAAATTCTTTTCGAAGATGGGTCTAGTGTGCCATGTTGCAAAAATTCACAGCGAGGTAATTACTTAATACTGACTTTTAAGGATCTTCTGAACTTGTAAAAATATGATATTAGTCTTCTTTTTTCATGTTATTTTTGTACAAAGGCATCTGTTGCACACAATGCATGGGAACTCAAGCAATATATAGAGGAGCTATATTGGGGATCCGGTAAGCGTGTTATGCTGCTAGGGCACAGCAAAGGTGGTGTGGATGCTGCAGCTGCATTGTCAATCTATTGGTGTGATTTAAAATACAAAGTGGCTGGTTTAGCACTGGTACAGAGCCCATACGGCGGCACTCCATTGGCTTCTGATTGTCTTCGTGAAGGCCAGGTTGCTGACAAAGAAACCCGCCGGATCATGGAGCTCTTGATATGCAAGCTAATTAAGGTAATAGCTACTTTTTACCAAACACAAACATCATGGCATTCCCTTTTTCGAATTTTATAAACTCAATCTAGTACTATATATTTTTAAGGCCTTTCCTAATAGGCTTCTGTTTTCAATTATTCACCGATCAATGTTTTGTGACGCTTATTTTTGTTACACTAATTTCCAAATGCATAGTCATGGAAAGTTTTTCATTCAACCATCTTGTTGGGTTTTCTTCATTGCCCTCTGTCACGCTGGTAGGGTGACATTCGGGCACTAGAGGATCTTACATACGAGAAGCGAAAGGAGTTTATCATGAAGCACAAACTTCCTGCAGAGCAAATTCCTCTTATTTCCTTCCACTCTGAGGCCAGCATTGCTCCCGGTGTCCTTGCAACAATGACACACATAGCGCATGCAGAGCTTCCCTGGCTCCCCCTACCAAACTTTGGCAATAAAGAGTCAGATGAAATCATTCAAGCAGGGCGTCAGCTGCCAGTAGTGATTCCTTTATCTGCTGCCATGGCTTTGACTGCACTTCATCTCCAACTCCGGTATGGGGAGAAGAGTGACGGGTTAGTGACCTGCCGTGACGCTGAAGTTCCAGGTTCGGTTGTGGTCAGACCGGACAGGAAGCTTGATCATGCCTGGATGGTTTATTCTACAAAGAAAAAGAACCCAGGTGAGGCTGATGCCTCAGAAATGTGTGAGGCTATTCTGACTCTGCTTGTAGAGCTTGGAAAGTTAAAGGAAGAGGCAAAAGCTATGAACTGATCTAATCCTTCATACAATTTCTTTACTTTAGCATTTTATTTATGTTGTTTTTGCTTTGATTTGCTATACATTGTGTTATTTAAATATATATTCACAGCAATCAATGGTAAATGAGAAAAACTACTGCCTACTTAGTCTCTTAACAAAAATCATGGAATTTCCTATATTTTGGTTTCAATTAACTCTGTGTTAATTCTTTTCGATATAAGGATTACCCTCATCAGATAGCTTTGCCGAAGTTTCTTCCGTATAAGAAGGCCCAAAACTATCTACTAGGCCCAATTAACAATAAATTCTACTTGAGTCCATCAACAAGTAAATCTAATAAGTCTAAGCCAATAAATTCTTGTAGGCCCAAAAGGTCACCAACCCAATAGCTAAGACCCAAAATTTTCTTAATTGAACTAGCGAGTAAGCAACAAGGCTTAGCCAACAACCCATAAATTGTTAATGAACAATTGAACCCTAAGAGGCATACCAAAAATAGCTTTTTTTTTTTTTTAACAAATGATAGGACAATTTACATTTAATTTATCTAAACTACTGACATGAGATTTGAACATAGAACCACAAGCAAACCGAGTCGTAAGCCACTTACACCAAATGTAGCTTCTTTTGAGATATATTTATTTTCTTTGAGAATGTTTATAGTTGAGGTCAGATTTTACGTCCCCTTCATTGTAATGTTTCTAAACTAACTAATAAAACTTTTCTTGCATCGTGGAGTTTCTCTTAAGATTTAAAAATAAAAGGAACAAAAGAGTATGATCCATTGCCATATCATAAGGTAGGAAAAACCAATTCTAAACCTAAGAGAATCCAACAAGTTTCTTTCTTTATAAAAAGTATGGGTGACACATGGATTGCATGTGTATGAGATTGAAGAACAGTAGAGCTTAGCATTTATATTTTTAAAGGTCGACATTCATGAAGTTACCAGTTGGCTCAAATGAAAATAAAATAAAATAAAATCAGTTGGCTCCACATATTTAATGGCTCAATGGGTCTTGTTCTGCACAACTGCTCCTCAAACGTGAACACTATCATATATAAGAAAACTAATATATATATATATAACAACCAATTTATAACACCCATTTCGTAATGTATTTCAAGATTAATAATCCAAACCATTCATATTTTAATACATTATTTATAGATCAGTCTTACAAAAAAAATAGATAAATCTAAAACCATTAAGACATTCATTTGTAGTAAAAAAAAAAAAAAAAAAGGACAAATATGATTTTACAAAGAAACACTAAATTTAATCCAACGGTCATATGATTTCGAATTTGGAGATTTTTTGTAGAAATGATCTTTGAAGTAAAACATAAAAGATGGACGGTTGGAAAGTAACCAATTGTCGGTTTTAGTGAACATGAAAAGTAATAATTAGAATTCAGTTTTGAAACTTCGGCGTTTTCCTTTGAAACAATAATGTTTCAGGTAGCTGTAATTTTCATTTTCATGATATAACATCACATTTTCTGGTGCAACTGAAGCAGTGAATAAAAGCTTCTTTCTGTTTTGTGTTAAGAGATGCATAACTTTCTGGCTTGCATGTCGATTGCTTCCATGGATGTGGCAGCTATTAAAAGTTCAAACCATCACACTTTCCATCAAACTGAAACCCTAGATCAGTTCACGTGAACATTATTTTTCTTCTTAAGGCCTAAAAACCAAGAGAAATCTCACTTTCTGCACTAGTCAATTGACATCCAAATTACATTTCAAAACCCAATAGATAAATACTCCTTGTGTTTTCGATTATGTTGTTTTTGCAGAGAATTTTTAAATGCTGGTTTAAAAGCAAAATTTTTTTTGGTCGAAGTTTAAGAGCAAATTGTTCTCATCATTGTACGAATGATTAATGCATAACAACATGTATAACCCGTCAATTTGACATGAAACAATTCAAACGACACAACCTAATAACTAATCGAGTTGTTATCAAGTCACCTAATAAGAACCCGTTAAGATACTGGGTTTGACCCGACACGACATGATACGACCCGTGTGAAATTGGTTTGTTGGCCATATTATTTCCTTACAATAAAAGTATAGAATTACAGCATGATTTTCTCCACAAACCGTTCAATATTGGCTTTAATTCGATACATTCTGCACAGCAATGAATATAATTTTAACCCTCCAAAGGTATACGTATCATTGATTTTGCATCAAAACCATATGTTGAATATTGGTGGACACTTTCCAGTGAATACAGTACCCCCACTATCAGTTACATTATTTCAAGCTTTTCAGGCCGCCCATGAAACTCAATCGATTAAATTGTACGTGTGGCCATGAAGACAAGATGCATACATGCAAACCCTAGCTAGCAAAGCGGACCCAATTGATAACTACGTTCCAATTCCAAAACTAGAATGGAAACAAATCGAAACATCTTTTGCAGATCACTTGTTTTCGAGTCTGGCCAGCTCTGCAATTATTCAACGACCTATGTCTTATACACGTAGTAACATGCTACAAAATCAATTGGTGCATGCGTGATTATTATTGTTACAATCATTTAGAGTTATACAGAAAAGAAGAACAATGTGGAAAATGAGCTTATAGCTCGTTGATATATAAGCGAAGTCTCAGTCTGTACTTTGTTCAAGGTGGGGGAGGCATGAAAAAGCAAATTTATTCAGCATGCATGAGTGGTTGATTCATTGTCCCATTAATAGATAAATTTAATTACACGAACATCCTCTGGAAAAACGATTACTTTTCGTTCGGTTTAGGTCATGTATTTTCTGTTTCTTTGGGTTACATTAGGAAGAAAATCGAACCCCTTGACCTAACTTGATCCTAATAATTGAACCCTTATCAACATTACGCCGATATATAAGATTGGAAGAGAATCGAACTCTTGATGATCTGATCTCCTTCAAACCGAACCCTAAAAAACCTATGCCTATAAGACCATTTGGGACGTAGTAATGTTCTCATTAGAACCTACTTTAATTTCTTATTCGTCCGATTTTCCAATAATTCAAATATCTACAAGTAGGGCTAGCTCGAAGGAAAGCATGAGTTTGGTTTCTAATATGAAGCAAATGAAACAAAAATCTATATAGAAAAAAAAAATGGAGCTTGAAAATTAATTCAAAGTTTGTTGCGTTAGAGTTGCCTTAATGGTCAATCACTGTTGAGTTCGGATGCTGATAGCACAATTTATGAAACTGATGAACCCAACTGGGCCATGTTATCTATAGGCCTTTTTTGTTCTAGTACTCCCTAGATGCCTGCATTATTTTTTTTTTGGCAAATTAGCAATAAATATATGGTTTCCAGCTTGCTTTTGTTTTGGTTTCAGATCAAATGATTGGAAAACTCATACTTTACGAGGCGCACTTGCTTTGCAAGATTAATGGATGTCTTCTAAAAATCAAAGATATCGCGTTAAATTACGAAATAATGGTGTAAATGACTCTTTTTTTTTTTTGTTATATAGTGTTAAAGGTGATAAGTTTTTTTTATAAGTATCCAGTCTCGTTTTCTGAATAAACTCTATGTTTTAACAAAATTATGGTGATCTATTGTTTGATTTAAATCCAATGGTGGAAGAGAAGAATATACAAACTGGACACCTGCAAGACTGCAATAGAGTATTTGTCATGGAAATTAATTGCTCTAATTACTAGATTATATTATGTTATCTCCGGTGTTTAATATATTAGTATCAGTGAAAATATCGATATGCATATTTGTGAAAATATCAATGTCAACATGATCCTTTCCGGATCTTTTTGGTGAGAATCCTGAGAATCCGTGAATCGTGTTCATTCATCGTACATCGTGCGGTCAGTTTTTATCAGGTACTGTTTGTTTTTAATTTTAAATGAAAATATTTAAAATGATTAATGATCTCAATTCATGAAGCCTGACTTGCCCTAATTTGAGTAACCCCTTTAGTAAGTGGAAACAACTACAAGGACACTCATGGCTCATTTTATTGGAAATGAACAATGATACCGTACATGTACTATAATATAGGTAATTTATTTACAGTATTATTGATCAGATGGTAATAGCTTGGAACGGATAAATGGACTTTGAAACAATGAGAGATTTTTAGGTGTCATTAATTGTATACATTCATACGTATATTTCTTTCATCGTAATAATTAAGGATGTGAAAGATTGTTTGTTTTACAGTCAGTTGTAAACATTTATATGTCTATTTCTTTAATTACATAACAAATCCGGAATAGGTTAGATAATTCTCTAAAAAACAAATGTGCTTCACAACTGTGTATCTTTTTCTCATATTCACATGACAAACCGGAAATAGAGCAATTTCTCTAAAAACCGACTAATTTTATAAATCTATTCGTCTATTTCACTCAGTAAGTGACAAACTGTGAATAGGGCAGCTTCTCTAAAATATAATTGTTGGATACACATTTGAGTCTATACCTAATATCTCTCACCACACGACGGACTGAGACTATGACAGACTCTCTAAAAAAATCAAGTTTACATACAAACTAAAAAAAATTTATCTTTCTCATTACATGACAATTGAGAACACAGCAAATTCTCTATAAAAAACAAGGCATGATCCAAGAGTACACCGAAGGGTTTTGCAGGGCAGTAGTCTAGCTGTTAAGATTGGTCCGGCAACGGATGTGGGGTATGGGGAGATTAATGAATCAAAAAATTTTGAAGTCTGGGTTGGCTGAAGAAGTAGAAGAGTTTTAATTATCGTTGGTGTGTAATGCTTATGGGGAGAAGGGGAAAGAAGGAAAGATATATTGGCAGGATTGGTGGTGCACAACAAAGGCCTAGCCCATCCTAGTATGGTAATCTTAAGGTCATTTTCAACCAAACTGACTAAATATAGTCTTGTTCAAAATTATAGTCATACAAAAAATTATATTTAAATAAACAATATTAGGCTATATTCATATATTATCTCTAATCGAATGGGCTAAATATTGCACATTTAATAATTATTAGTTTTAAGTTTATACTTTAAATTTATTATTTAAATTAATTACACTACTGTTAGATGTTTTCAAACTCAGCCGTTGAATCAATTATTGTTGCAGATGAGCTATGCCCCAAAAAAAGGCTAAAGTGGGGGCTACATTTGTGTAACTTGATGCCCCTTTA